CACTTGTACTGTAACTTGTGAGTTGAAAGTTTCTAATCCATCAAAGAATATACCCGCTCCATCACGTTGAACTGGAATAGTGCATAAGAATGAAGTTTGGTCTTTCCATGTTCTAGCTAATGGCTTGCCATATCATCATTTCAGTGGTCTAGTTAATGAGTCCTCGTATTCTTCTGTGCATTCATTCACTCCATCTAAATCAGAAGCTTGAAGCATACGTGTAAAGAATATGTCACACTGTGGTCATCGCTTGATCGGGGAAGTTTCTGGAATCTATAGTGACCTGAAGACCTCGAAGCATTGGATTTTCTAAAACACTGTTCTTTGCATTGCATTCTTCGGAAATGCTAACACAACATCTGTAACATTATGAAGAGCGTATGAGAAATCTGAGCTGATACCTTCAGGAGTGATGCAACCTCCATTTAGTGAACGAACGTCAATATGTTGAGCTGGAATCATGAATGGATCTTCCTTACTGAATAAACGTGGTATTGCTTTAACTGATTCTTCAATTAAACCGTATCCTGGTGTAATGCATTTATCCTCTAAAACTTCCATCTTTGTGCATGAAATAATAACGTCTTCAACTGTTGCGTCAGCAGATGTAGCGGCTAAGCTTGTAATTAATTGGCAGAAGTCCGATTTGTTGGAATTTGCGATCATATTTATAAACATGATTCATAATCTTTTCATAATTTTCATCAGTTATCTTTTCATAAACGTAATTTTGTAAATCAGCAACTCTTAACGGGTCAACCTGACAAAATACTAAAGTATCCTGAAAACATAATATTAAGAATGATTTCACCAAATGTTAGGATAATCATCGAACGCCTGAAATGCTAACAAATCATTTACCGGAATAATCATATCAAAAGTGACATCAACTTCTTCATTTGCTTTCTTGAAAACTTCTGAAGAGGTCAATATATTTACCACATACTGAGTTATCATATTTTTTGAACATTATTATATAACGAATGAACAAACTTTTTAACTTTCCTTTCTGATTTTGGTTTATATGTTTGCAAATGCGAAAGATTCCACGCAATCCATCTGAAGATAACCGGCATCACCTCTTTCGGTTTCTACTTCTAATTGTTTAAAGCTTTGATTTGATGATTTGTAACCAACGAATAAACGCATGCATTTAAAAGCGGCATCACATGTGAAAGCTTTATTTGAAACTAGAGTTGCTTTAACTTTGCGTTTAATATATGTGTCACCTAATTGGTTCACATCATGAGCCGGATTTGTAATTCTTAAATGAGTTTGTTTATCATCAAAATATGGAGCATCAGAGTCATAGCATGAACTTTCAAGTTCTCTATAATATCTTCTACCGTCATTCTTTGCGAATATTTCATTTATCTTTTCGAATGAATGAAACACATTTCCATTAATCGGTTTGTGTTTGGCACTAAATAGTTAGTCGTCATTTATTATTAAATAAAAAATCAAAATTAAAGATGAAAATGAATTTTTAATTTTAATGAAATAATCAACTATGGCTGCAGGATTCTTTAAGAAACTGTGGGATAAAGTAAAAAGAGGAGCGCATAAAGTTTGGGAAACAATGAAGAAAGGAGCAAATTGGATATTTAAGAATAAAGAAGCAATTAGTGACGTTGCTGAATCAATAACGCCAAAAGCTGCCCCAATAAGAGAAATTTTAAATAAAGGAGAAAAAGTTTATCAAAGACTACAACCGATACTAAGATAAAAATAATATTTATTTATTTTTCCACTATTTACCCCTATTTTATTAAGTATTCCTTCAGCTATTCCACCAATTGCGTTACCTGCTTGTGCTCCCATCGCCGGATTACCTGCTTTAGTACCTAATACTCCACCTATGATAGTTCCTGCCGTTTTCGCTACTGGTGCCAAAAAGTTTGCAACAGGTTTAATAACCTTTTTATAAACCCAACCTGCAGCTTTCTTAATTCCATCCCATAATTTTTTAAAGAATCCTGCCGCCATCTCTGATTTAATATTAATTAAAAAATATATTTCATCACTTATATTCTAATTTTTATTTAATGATAAATGAAACCGATTTTAAAAATAAATGAAACAAAGGAGGAAGAAATAAATGAAAGTGAAAATGTTCAACAAAAAATAAACGTTGTTAAACCAATTACTGAAATAAAAATTTTTTCATCTGTTGAAGAATTTAATGATTATTATGCTAATAATAAAAAATTATTTGAAGAATTGACAACGTGTAAATTGAATAAAATGTTTAAAGTTGAGGACAGAGTCCAAGACCCGGAGGGTCATGGATTCAAAATTTCAAAAATAAAAGGAGTGGTTAGTTTGAAATCTATTCCTCAATCAAGAATCACCTCATTAATGAAAAGATGATTTAACAAAAAGAATAGAAATTATTGAAGAGCGAATGAATCAAATAATTGATTTCATAAATCATGACTCGTTGAGCCCGGGTCCTTAAAGCCTAAGGCACAAAGTGCCCAGGACTTAAAGTCCATCACTGAGTTCAAGGTTATATTCATCAAATATTTCATTATTAAATGCAACTTCTGCTAGTTTATTTATTTTTTCAATACGATCATTTGAAAGTCTATCGTTTAATTTTTTCTGAAGTTTTTCATTTTCTAGTTCTGAAACTTTATTTGGATGATATGTAAATTCATGAAATTCTTTGCCTCGTTTTGATCATTAATTTACAAAGAACTTTTGTGGTTGGAATTCGTTTGAACCATTTATTAGTTATATTGTTGCATGCTAAGATCAGTCATAATGTAAACCTCTCAATTTTATTGTCATGGGAAGTATCTCAATTCCTTCAAAAAAATTGAAAAACTATTTAATTTTAAAAATATAATACTTTTAATTAGTTAATTAATTGGGGATATTTTTTTAAAAAATCACTTTTGATAATACTTTTGAGAACTTTAATTCAAAAAATATATTCAAAAATATCCAGGATATCAAAAGGGAATTGTTCCTTATGAGGTATATAGTTATGATGTATACCTCATAAGGAACAATTCCCTCCTTAAAACGAGAAAACTTGTTCGAAATTGTTTATCATTTCGAACAAGTTTTCTCGTTTTTAATAAGAAACTAAAGGCTATGAGGCATTGATTATATATTAGTGCCTCACAGCCTTTAGTTTCTAATAGATAGCTGGGAAACTTTCTCCAAATGATAAGTTATTCAGAGAAAGTTTCCCAGCTATCAAGAGGGAATTGTTCCTTATGAGGTATATAGTTATGATGTATACCTCATAAGGAACAACTCCCTCCTTAAAATCGTAGACATTTTTATACTTATTAATCAACCATTCAAAATCATATTCCTCTGAAAAGTTATTTTATTAAAAATTTAGAATTTTAATAAATATAGAGTTTGAATTTCATACAATACCTATATATTTTCAATAATGGAATTTGAAAACCATTCTCAAAAGTTCTCAGAAAACCTTTTTTTCATTAATTTTAAGAAATCTGAGTATTAAATTAAGTGATAAATTCGTTTGACACTACTTTAATTTTTAAATTCAAAAAATTATATGTGCTTCTTAAAATGACTCAAAAAAATTTTATTATAAAATAATATATAATATTAAAAATCCCACAACATTTTTTTACTTTACATAATCGTACTTCCTCGACGATTAATTTCCACTCAATTTCTATCGTTGACCGAACTTAGCATGCAACAATATTCGTTATATATTCAATATCTGGAATTAATTCCCAAATTTTTGAATTTTCAATTAATTTATTATCAAATGCAAAAGCAATAGGTTTAATATTAAACTTACCTTTATAATATAAACTTTCTACATAATCATCGAAATAAACATCTACTTGTTTAACATTTTCAAGAATTGGTGAAAGAGCATCCATTAATTGATTGACGGTTACGAATCTTGATCCACTCATTTTCATACGAATTAAAAAAATAAATTATTCAAAAAATGTAAGACATGAATTTTTAAAGTTTATTTTTCATTCATGAATGATAATTATATCTGATTTCTTTTACTCTCTCATACATACTAGATTTGAAGAATTCAGAACTTTTACCATAATCTCCTAAATGTTTTCTTATCCCTAACGTGTGCCAGTTATTATATGAAACTGTATAAACTTTATCTTTATCTTTACACCTTTCATCACTTCCAATATATTTATATCTCAGTTTTGATTTTGCATTTTCATATTCATTAACGTTTAATAATTCGCAGTCTTCCTTTTTAAATAAATGTTTAAGATATTCAGGATTTAATACTCTACGTTTATATGCTCCTAACTTAGTTCTAAAGGTTTTTCTACAAAATTTAGGAATTCCATCCTCTTTAATGTCATCAATGATTTCCATTTCATTATTTTCCATTTCTTCTTCTCGTTTATGAGGTCTTTGATTATGACTCTATTGATTCCATGAAATTAAATATTCTTTATCATTATATTTATACCTCATTAGCTTATTTTGGCTTTCATATTCATTTAATAATTCACAATCTTCATTTTTAAATTGAAGTTTAACCCATTCAGGATTTAAACAATGTTTAATTAATCGCGGAATATCTGACATCATCTATATATAGCTTCTTTTATAAAAGATAAAAAAATAAATTATTTTAAAATTAATGTTAATTCTTTAATGATTTATAAATAAATATATTTTAATGCATCGTCTATATATAGATGATACAAAAAAAGTCACACAACCCGCACTCATATACTACTGATTTTGTGTTCTTCTTCAAAATTTTATTTTTTTATTAAAAAGAATCTTTACAAAATATACATTTACTTTAATTAATATTTAAAAACGTGCTCTATCAAAAGTTCCAAAAATTCAATATTTTAGCTTTTCTGAGGTGTCACCTTTGATGGATTTCTGTTTACAACAAAAACCCCCATACTGTCAATAATAAATTATTTGTTGTTGCTTTCAGCCCAGATTTATTGCTGAAAAAGTGACAATTTATTGATATGAATCTAACTTTAACAAATATTATGGCTAAGAATATTCTTGGAAGCCGTTTTATGGCTCTTCAGCATTCCACTTTATCACATAATATTGTTATTGGTAAATCACAGTTTTCTCGTTCATTTTCTTCGTTATTATTTACAAAAAATCAAAATCATTTTATCAAAATTCACAATACAAAGCTTTCGTCATTCCTCAATTCAGTTATTAAAGTTGACAAAGATGATTTGGTTAAAAATGAAGTTCTTACAGACACTTATAGATCATCAGATGAAAATATCGAAATTGATGGATGTGTCTTTTTCAATTTGAGAAGTAAAGAAGATGGTGCTGCATGTAATATTCAAAATTCGAATGGAATATATTCGATTAAAAACAGTATTTTCCAAGATTGCAGATGTGAACGAAAAGGTGGAGCATTATACATAAAATCATATAGCTTAGTTTTATTTGGAAACTGTTTCCACCTATGTCGCTGCGGAACACCGAACGGTAGCGATGGATCTACAATTTATGCTGACGCATCAGACATTATTAATACCTCATTTGTTACATGTCATGAATGTCCTAAATTTGGTGATATGTGCTGGTACGGTATCTGCAATTTATGGCATGCAGACTTATATTCAAATAATATTAACATTTCTAAGAGCGAAGTTGAATATGTCTGCAGTCTTGCTCATTGTGAACCTGCAAGGAAGATTTCTGTCATAAAATTCTATACTTCTGTCAATGGATTAACCGGAAATTCATTAACTTTTGTTGGTATCCGTTTCCCAGGTAATCATCAATTCGGAAATATTGTTAACAATTCAGTCAAGTCCGGTTTAATCTATTTCCAAGATTCTAATACCGATGTCAAAGAATTTGTTTTTATTTCTAACTCCGGACCATTAACGTATTCTTGTGTAGGCATAAGTAATGGTACATTTATCGGTTGTCTGTTTGATCGTAAATACGAAAATGGAAATGGCTACGATTCTACCGTTGATTGTAAGATTCGTTTCAGAAACGTCACTCAAATTCCAATGCCAATGGTGAATACATTTGTATGTAACAACGCTATTAATTTTGAAGTTTCTTTTGATCGAACTCCTTTGTTTATTTTGATTGGAGCTGTTGGTGTTGCTTTGTTAATGATTGCGACATACTACAAGCAACTGTTATACTTGTTCAGAAAATTATCTGGAAGAAGATTCAAATAAAATATATTTTTTATTTGTTGTGTTTTATATATAAAAATAATTCGAAATTTATTTTTATTATCGTTTTTCTAGTTTGAATTGAAGTTCCCTGAGCAAATATCTTTGGACAAAAAAATTGATCAAAAGAAAATCTTCATTTTTTCTGGCTATTTTGTGGGTTCCTTTGTTCTTGTTAGTATTATGAATTTAATTATCTTGTTTTTATTATCTAAAGTACACAAGTGTTCAAAGCGGTTGTGAAAAATAATGACGCGGGGAAGAGCAGTTCAACGAGAAAATCCTCAATATAATATTGAAACGGTCTCACTTGTGTACGCTAATGTTAACCAAGAGAAAGGTCCAAGTTGGTATGATGTCGAAAACTATGAACTCCCACGAGATTCTCAAGATCCTTACTATCTACTCGACTGGGTAGGAACTGGAAAATATAGCGATGTTTACACCGCCAAATATGGAGATCAAATCGTTGCAATTAAAGTTTTGAAACCTGTTCGTTCGCAAAAATATAACAGAGAAGCTAAGATTTTAATTAATTTACGAGGCGGTCCTAATATTATTCAGCTTATATCAGTCGTGCAGAATCCGAAAAACTTTCAATATAGTTTTGTTTTCGAGTATATTAATGATATTGGTTTTGATACTTTGATGAAAACAGCTACAGACCTAGAAGCTCGCTTCTACCTTTATCAGTTAATGAGAGCATTGCAGTATTGTCACTCTCAAGGTATTATGCATCGAGATGTCAAACCGCTAAATATTTTATACGACAACAAGCAGAGAAAACTCAGATTAATTGACTGGGGCTTAGCAGACTTTTATCATCCATATCAGCGCTACAACATTCACGTTGCATCTCGAAACTTTAAACCGATTGAATTATTACTTGATTATCAATGCTACGATTACTCGGTAGATATCTGGAGTTTTGGTGCTACCATGGCAGCTTTGATTTTCAAAAAGACACCATTCTTTAAAGGAAACAACGATCTTGAGATGATCAAAGAAATTGCATCGGTTTTAGGTGGTGAAAAGCTCGAAAAATACATGCAGAAATACGGAATTCCTCAGCCAGATGGATTTCCAAAGTCTTGCCTCAAGAAAAAGGCAAAACCTCTTGAATCTTGCCTCAGAAAGAACGCAAAGAAAGATCTTGTGTCTCCTGAGGCTTTGGACTTGCTGGATAAATGTCTCAGATATGACCATCAGGAGAGAATTACTGCAGCGGATGCATTGAAGCATCCCTACTTCGATCCAGTTCGTGATATGGTTGCCAATTGAATTGTTGTATTAAATATTGTTCTTTTCCTCCAAAATTTTTATAGATTATTTGAATAAAGTTTTATATTATTTATGCAAAATTTCTTTTTTTGTTTTTCAAGCTTTCATCAATATTATAATAACTTAGATAATAAAAGGTAGTATTCTCAGATTCAATTAAATATATTTACTCAAATTTTTCATATTTAATTCATGTAATCTCACAATTATTCAAATCTAATTATTTCTCATCTTATATGCAATAGTTCGTATATGGTTATTTGGAGCTCTCCCACTTTCATTAAAACAAAATTTAAAATTATTACCAAAATTGACGTTTATATTCAAATAAGACCTCAAATAAAAGCTGAATCATGTGTTTTAGCCAGTGATGCTAAGCAAATGATCGAAATTGAGATGCATTGAGCACTTTACGTTAAACAAAAGTGTCAAAAATATGGAGGATTATAAATCATCTGGGACTCACCAAAAAGTTGATATTGTATCAGATGAAAATGATGAAGATCATAGGAAATTGAATGATATCTGCCTTGGTCTAATAAAATATACAAATGCTGGTAAATCATTATTTATTATATCAAAAATTGCAGAATTGACTCAATTCTTATGCAATTCAAGCGAGTCTGAATATGATGTTTTAATTGAAAAAGAAATTCCACAATTATTGCTAAATTTATTTAATTTAACATCAAAAACAGAAGAATATAGACCAGTCACCTATTGTATGATCCAAATTTATAGGAAAGCCCACTCAACTCATGACTTTTTTGAATCTCCATTTTTTATTGAGAATTTAATTCAAATTGATGGCTGTCAGCAAGCCAAGATAGACTGTATAGTTCAGATTCTTCATGAAGTTGTTGATAATCTTCAAAAGCACTCATTACATGAGCCTCTTTCAGAATTATTCTCAATATCTCTTTTAGAAAATCTTGCACAAAACACAACAAATGATGATTCACTTGCATCGATTATGCTAATTGCTAAAGCTTTTTCCTCTCTAATAACAGACAAAGAAGCTGGATCAAACTATCTCAAATTTATTAGAGCGAATATTATGCGAGGTCAAGAGAAATCCACATGTATAATGATAGATATGCTCAGTGATCTAATTAACCGATTGATTTTTGTGAATGAAACTTTTATAAGTGAAGGATTTATTCCAATTTTGGTCGAATATTTTCGTTTGTTTAAGAATGGTATTGGTAATAGCGCCGCCGGATTTATTTCATTATATTTAGAAAAGGTTGGTGATGAGTTTCCCATTGATATAGAGATTCTGGAAAAGATTTTATTAGATAATTCAATATATCATGAATTTCCAGATTATTATTTTAATGTTTCAAAAGTTATGTGCCTGTTGGTCATAAATAATCAAGAAATTGTCCAGAAATATATAAATTCAGAATTAATTTACAAGCTCATCTCTTCCATTGATAACTACACCGCAAATATTCAAAGCAGTATCATTAGGACTATAAGTAGTTGCATTTTTCAGTCGAATGCTGATCTTTTTAAAATAATTTTGAAAAGTATTAACAGTATTCAAATCATATTTGAATTGATTACCAGAGGTATCGAATATTGTAATGAGTATGTTACTGGTCCGGTATTATTTGCTTTGCACAACATGTTATTATTGGCTCAAAATGATGAATCTATTGGAAAAGTAGTATATGAGAATATAAGTTCTTGTATTCCTGGGTCTGATATTTCGGATATTGAAATTGAATCAGAAGATATTGAAGCATTGATAGATAAAATCCTCAATCTTTCTCCATATTCTGAAGAAGGGAATGAATGAAAATTTTAATTAGATGAAAATGATATTTATAGTTCTCATTTTCAAATTTCATGTAACATTAAGTTAGAATTTCATTTCTTGAAAATAATTTATAATTTCTTTCAAAATAGGCATTAGTAAGTTTCCTACTACTATTCATTTTGCAATATTTAATGTTTATAACTATGCTAACATATAATGAAGCTAGATTTATGGATGAAATCCCGGAAGAGATTCGGAATATAATTCTCAAAAGATCCAATAAGTCTCAAAACTCAAAGTTTCCGTTTAAACTCAAAACTCTTCTCGATTGGGTCGGTGAAAACGAAAATAGAAAGAAAAAATGCGGATGCTCATGGGTTGATGATAGAATCTTTTCACTAGATAAAGCAAAAATTTCAGAAATAATGGATTTAAAATTAAACACTTTGAATTCCAATCTTAGAGATCTAGGATTTACTCAAGCATTACCAAGAAAAGAAGGAATAACGTTTTGGCAACATCCAAATGTACGCAAAAACTCATCAGAAGAAGAAATAAACTCGATTAAATACATGGATAAGCCAGCTCTTGAAAATTTGAATAGTTTAAATTTTTTTGGAGTCTATAATGTCCTTCTTAACAACATAACTTTATTCGGCATGACAGAAAATGAAATTGTTGCTTTCAAAAGAAACGTTATTACAACTTGGGAGAAAATAATTAAGCCAAATCATGTTTTTGCTGTATCTAAAAAAGAACTTACTGATTCATTTGGAGGTCAAGCTGGTTTTTGTAATGATCCGTATGCATTACAAGAAGCTTTGACGACAAAAGTTACTGCAGTAATAGATATAAATGATTTCGCCATATTTATGGCTAGGTTTGATCCATTTGAGAACATAATATTCAAGTTGGATAAGTTTCAGCAACTTATTCCTGATTTGCGAGTTAAAATGACCCAAATAGGTTCAATTTCATCATTTTTTGCCAAAACTTACCATAATTGTTTCTCATTCCAGATGTCTGGTGGAGAATATCATTGTTATAATCTACCACATGTCGGATCTACTGCTAATTATCTTCAAAATGAAGATGGGGAGAGATTTCAGTCATGGACGATGGCTCTTCAGAGTACATCTATTCTTCAATCTCAGACCGGATTCTTTTTTTAATTTATTTTTTTGTTTGTATAAATGTTTTATATTATATCTTTTTACAATAAGATTTTTCTCTATTTTAATGCCAGGCTATAATATCTTTCATTATTAATGAGTTAAACATGCTGATTCAAAAAGAAAATTCTCAAAATTTTATTAAAATGAATATTTCATGCATTTTAACGATTTTAATTATATGTATAATCTTAATTTTATAGTTTCGAGCTTAAATAACCATTTTTCTAGATTTCGACGACGATAGCGTCGTTTGGCCTTCCTTTTCATCAGATGGTTCACCACCCAAAGACAAAGAAATTCTTCTGCAAGTTCTGCAAGAAGCACACAATGTGCAAGGTTTCCCAGGCCTCCCGTGGTGAAGAGCGCCATTCAGCCCTCGGTCGCCGTCGTTATGATCGTAAGCAAAAGGGTTTCGGTGGTCGTGTTAAACCAATTCTCCGTCGTTCCAAGAAGACATCCAAGAAGATTTCTCTTCGTTTCACATGCCAGTCTTGCAAGAAGGCCACAATGTATTGCCTTGGCCGTCTTCGTAAGTTCGAATGGACAGTTGAAAAGAAGAAGAAACACGCCGAACCAACATGGTAAAATGTGTTCTTACCAGTAATTTTAATTACGCTTAACTTTTTTTTCATACAAGATTTTTTTTACTCTCCAAATCCAATATATCTTTCAGATTATATATACTATGATTTATGATCATTTACTCCAGTACATTCGATGGAATTATTTCATAATTTCCTTCCTTTTGTTATATATGTGGCACAAAAAGATGTAATCTATTGCTATATGATATAGTCATTATTATCTCTATTAGAATAATATAGTCGTTAACGAAAAATAATTTGGAATTTTGAAATGGCGAAGCATTTAGCAATAATCTTGCACATATATCTATAAGCTAAAGTTTTGAAATATTGCATAAACACATATTTATTTTCAAAATTAGATAATGAATTTAATCTTATTCATTATGCTATATCAAAGAGTTAAATAGGAAAATTGCTTCAACATAAATGAAAAGAATAGTTTAGTGAAATGATTTTTTTCAAACAAAAGGATAATTGTTAAGAGCTCTTGCTGATTTGGTCAATCTTGGAGCTCCATTTTGCGTCAAGTTCCACCTTTTGCTTATTAAAGTTGTCATTAATCTCTTTGATTCTTTCAGACTTTGATTTATTATTTTGAATAAATCTCATCATTTCATTATTATGCTCTTCGATTTCCTTTGACTCTGAAAATTGATTTTCAACTTCTGCGCGAATCTTCTCCAGTTCTTTGAGAACAGATGCAAGTTCATCTTTTTGTTTTCTAATTTGTGTATCAATTAAAGCCTCTTCTGCTGTGTATTTTCTCTTGCTGGTGTTTTCACAGTTGAGTTTAACATCTACAGGTTGAGTATTCTTTGGTTTAGATTCTTTTATTGATGATGGGCGATCAACAAATGATCTAACTTTCATAGAAGCACCTTTTTTATTGTTTTGATTTGCTGGTTCTTGAAATACAAGACGGGTTTGAGGTGTCAACTTTTTCTTTTGATCTGTTAAAGTGTTATCTGTGTTTTTCATTCTAGCAGGTGGTGATTTATGTGTTTCTTTTGTTAATAGATCAGATGCATGAGGGCTAACATCTGCGAAAACTTGCTGAAAAACATTCATTTTGATTTTTTTAAACGTCCGCAATCGTAAAATAATTTTCACATAAAAAGACTTTACTGCTTTTACTTTCATTCGGTTTTAGATTATATTAAATTTGGAAATATATCGAATCTTCGCTTTGGGCACGTTCTGTATATGCCACATATTAGAAAATCAAATTTAAAATTTTATATAATCGAATCTCATGCAAATTTGCATTCGAATCAGAGGAACGTATAAGGATATAAAATGAGAGTATTTGAATTGATAATGGTAATAAGCTTTATTGCAAAAATTAATTTAAGATATCAAAAAAGAAGCAAATTCATGATACAATAGCCGCATTATCAAATGTTTTAATTGGAAAACTTCCTCAATAGAAAATAATATTTTGAAAAAGTCTTATTATTAGATTAATTAATTTAAAATACTTATGAGAATCTATAGCATATGAGCCAAATGAATAGCTCATCAAACGTCAATTTGTGTTTGGCTTCTAATATTTTTGATTCTCTCGATTTTAAATACGAAATCAATAATAAATTTAAAAAAATAGATATGTATAAATCAAATCGATTTCACTAACGAATATCATGACCTTTTACTTATATAAATTTACTTGAGTTTCTTCTTTAATTCATCTGCAGAATGCTTGAGCAATCTGAAAACTGTGCTAACAATAACAATTATATTGCCGATTCCAAGTGCAAAGGCCGCATAATCAGCTCCTTGACGAGGTTCATCAGTGAAGACGATTTTATAAAAAGACTCCCAGAAGGAATAGTAGAAGAAAACTGTGACAAGTGCGAGTGCCATAGCGAGCATTAAGATTTGAATTGGAGGAGCATAGTTGCGAAGCTGTTCTTCAGTAACTAAGAACATTAAGGGTCCACTGTAAGGCCAAATAAGGCCTATCGTCGTCCCAAAAATATTGCTCAAGATGGTGTTTTTACTAAGGCCCAAAACTTAAAAAAACACAAAAAAATTAACTTTACTCTTTTGAGATCCTTATCAGATGTGCAACAATTTGATGCAGTATCGCAATTCGAATCCGATTTTTTAATGTAGATGTACTCTAACATTCTTGAAAAAATGCAAAATGATATTAATCAAGCTTTTCATTTCTGTATCATACACGAAACAAAATCATTCATTATACTAAAATTTATCAAAGTTTGAATAATGAAAAAAATAATATCTAAATTTTTACATTGAGTCGGCTATTGATATGGTCAATATTAAATCGTTTAAAAATGGGCATTGGCCAGAATAATACCCACTAAAATACACATTTTTTTAAATTTTATCAATTTGTTTTGGTATATCTTTATGATAATGAATAAAATGCTTATCTTTCATAAGTCAATACATAATTTATGCTGAAACACAAAAAATAACACGAAAATTTTTGGCCAACATTTCAAAACGAAGGATAATGCTTTGAATATATAAACAATAATACTTTGTCTAGAGAATTAAATTTGTGCTATCCAATTGTCAATTCTTTGAATTTTTTATAAAATGCACGATATTCCGGCATTAGCCTCAATAAATATAAACTACATGCATCATAATATTAGGATGTAATGGCATTAAAGCGAATTTCCTAATTTCTTCTCAATTAAATTCCTAGAAAAACTTAGGAATTAATGATTGGAAATAGGTCAAAAAATTCCTAATATAAAATTTATGCTTAAATTGTAATAAACAGAAATTCATCAAAAGTGACAGCTCTCAATTTTTTGACATTTGTAAATTCTAAATTGAATGAGAAAAATGAAATAATACTAAGCATAATACAATATTCTAGATTTAATTATAATTAGGAAAAAGTTAGTTTGGAGAGTACTTTTCATAGGCATATAGAATGAAATCTTCTGAAAAATAATATCACATAAACTCATATTATTTTCTAATATATAACTATTTTATATAAAAATCAAATTCAATGATCTTAAAAGCGAAGGATAAACCTCAAAATTTACGAATATAATGAGTGGGAATATAATGCTTATCTATCATAAAACCATATGAAATATCAATTTTTGCTTTACGCCTAATTTTTGACGACAATTAGCAAAAAATGTTAAATGTTAACACTCAGTCCATTTGAATATGAAAAATAAAATTGACTTTGATTAAATGTTTTTATTTATCATGCAATTCTTCTTGCGACCAAAGATTTGAATAAAAGTTCAAAAAATAAGATAGCTTAAAAAATAATATACGGTAGTGTTTACTAATAGATGAATAGTATATAAATTCTATTAAAATGGATTTGATCCAAAAAAATATAAAACCAAAAATAATTGTTATAATTTAAATGAAGAAGTAATTTAAAACGATTTTATTTATGATCAAATTTTATATATTTTTTTGGATCAAATCCATTTTAATAGAATTTATATACTATTCATCTATTAGTAAACACTACCGTATATTATTTTTTAAGCTATCTTATTTTTTGAACTTTTATTCAAATCTTTGGTCGCAAGAAGAATTGCATGATAAATAAAAACATTTAATCAAAGTCAATTTTATTTTTCATATTCAAATGGACTGAGTGTTAACATTTAACATTTTTTGCTAATTGTCGTCAAAAATTAGGCGTAAAGCAAAAATTGATATTTCATATGGTTTTATGATAGATAAGCATTATATTCCCACTCATTATATTCGTAAATTTTGAGGTTTATCCTTCGCTTTTAAGATCATTGAATTTGATTTTTATATAAAATAGTTATATATTAGAAAATAATATGAGTTTATGTGATATTATTTTCAGAAGATTTTGTGTTCTTCTTCAAAATTTTATTTTTTTTATTAAAAAGAATCTTTACAAAATATACATTTACTTTAATTAATATTTAAAAACGTGCTCTATCAAAAGTTCCAAAAATTCAATATTTTAGCTTTTCTGAGGTGTCACTTTTGATGAATTTCTGTTTACAACAAAATTAAAATCAAAATTCGAAAATATCTATTTTTCAAAACACGCATCCAGAAGCGAAAAAATTCGAAAAAATCATGTTCTTATAAAACTCGCTGATTTTGCAATTTTTATGTGATTTGAAGTGATAGAATGTATTATCATCTTACTAAAACATATGCTTTATTGTTACATTCACAAAATATTAATCAGAACACTAGGAAAAGTGGATTTTCGAAAAAAAGACGATAACGATTATTTGCAAATCGCCTCTCAATTTTGAGAGACTTTCAATTTTTACAGTGGACCCTTAAATTTCTGTTTTTTTTACTAATCTGCCCGGCTAAAAAGAAATTAGACTCTAAAATAATGCTCTCCTGGTAAAAATCCTTTCCACAGAATTTGGAACTTCCTGAATGCATAAATAATTATTTCAAATCAAAACCTCTAATTTTGGCATTTCTTAGTTATCACCGTTCACAATGACTCTTAGAATTCTTAGTTTGCTATTCCGAACAAGCTTATTGTTTCATATATTTTAAGCAGAAGCAAACTTCAGATTTTGACAACTCAAACTCCAAAAATTGAATCAGCTCTCTAAGATCTTATGCAATGTTTGTGCTTTTTATCATATGTTTTACCAGAATACATCAAATTTTATCGTTCTGATTTTTGTCAATTTTTGTGTTCAAAATTATGCGTAAGAGAGAGCCACCACCAGATAATGATGAAGAGTTGGCAGGAAAGACATTAGATCGTGCAAATATGATGGCTATGGATCAATTGGTCGATTCAACAACAAGATTACTTGATCACACAAAAAATTTACGCAACCATATTAGAAGTGATGTTGAAAGACTCGATATTGCATTAGATTCCGGATACCAAGCTAATGACTTTATGGAGCAAGGAAAAAACTTTGTTAAAGCTATTGCAGATGATCCAACTGGAATTGGTGTAATGAAAATCGCTCTCGTGACATTCTTTTCTTTATGCATATTATACTTTGGTGGGAAAATGATTTTTAAGCTCATATTTAGGAAATGATTCTCTTTAATTTTTTGTTTAATGTTTATATATTATCTTATATCCTTGTTTATAATCTATATAAAGTAATTACGATATTGTTTACCACCATGAATTTGTTTTAAAAAAATATTCTGCTATTAATGAATATATAATCTATTTGATACTATTTTGTTTCTTTAGTATAAATATAAGTAATAAAATGAACCTTCACAGCATCCTAAATCTGTATTTTCCAATTTTTCAAAATCAAATTTGTTTCTTGAGCTCATTTTCGATTGAATTATCTATTTAAATCTTATAAGGAATATATTTTTGTTGTTTATTATATTTTAGTGTCTCTCTCTCTGAAAACCGCCGAAAGCAAAATGGCGGACTGGGACTCGCTAATTGCAGAGACAGAAGCGAGTAGTACCGCAATAAAACCAGTTGTTCATGAAACAGGTTTGACAGTTAACAGAGATTTTGCATTTGGTGATGATGCACAAGAATTTTTAGATGACAAATTAAAAGATGCAATGAATAAAGCAATTGCTGATCCAACAAAAATGCCAGCAATTGATAAAAAGAAGAAGAAAGATGAATCTGCAGGCAAAGATTGGTTTAATATACCAAAATCAAAACTTACAGAAGAAGACAAGCGTGATTGGCAGATATTGCATATGCGTAGTGTCATTGAAAAAGGTGCTGGAAATGTGGTTCAGCTTCCAGAAGAACCTCCGGAATTTTTACAATTTGGTACTATTCAAACACATGCAATGGATGGAAAGAAAGCACGTCTCACAAGAAAAGAACGTGGTGCTACCATCTTAGAATCTCTTGCCAAAGATGATACATATATTAATTATTTGAACGAAGAAAAGGCTAAGAAACTCAAACCCAAATAGAAAATAAAGTTATATAGAAATGTTGATTTATGGTAATAATTAATATTTAATAATTTTTTTTATACTAATTTCAATATGCTTAGAAACAGTTAAATACTATTTCTATGAGTTGGTCGAATTCCGTTTCTCTTACAATTCTTAAATTATCTAATAAAGGAATTTAGTTTACTATTAAGGCTGAATCACTGGTCCATCATACACAATTCGAATCATTGAATAATATTTGATATATTTTGTTTTTCTACAGAACACAAGAAAATTCCATATTTGTTAGCAGTATTTCTGGATCCAAGATCGATGCAATTGTTCCTAAGACCTTCAAGAGCAACAAACTCTACATTACATTAAACTTACAAACAAATAATACTATAAAATCACAAAAAATGTTAATTTATCAGACAACGATAGTTTGTACGAATGTATTCATTTGAATGAACAAAATCATAATACAAATTCAAAGTTAAAAATCATAAAATTATTCCGAATATTTTTGAGAATAAGCACATGAGTGTTAAGGCTCCGGTCCAACTCTCTCAATTTTTAAAATTGAATATATTACCATCAACAAGATTTTCGAGCAATCCTACGGCATGCATCATAATATAATATTATAGCCTATATTATACTAATATAATAACTTTAATTATAAGTCATGAAAACTCTGATTGATGGAAATATTCAATTTTAAGTAACATATAAATAAAATGTTTCCTTTTGAAATTTAGTATATTTCAAATTGTGTTTCAAATTTAGATGATATTTTTGGATTTACATGTGTTATTTTATACATATAAAATTAAAAATGAACATCTGAACCTTGATGATATGATCATTGTTATATTAATGAATTCTTGATAAGAATAAAAAATTAATATTTTTAGTCGCGAAGCATGTTAAAAGTGCAATAAAAGTATATATGCATGCACATAATATGTTCATACTCAAAATACTACTTGATCATGTACGTCCATTTTTGTCTTTAGCATTGATATCTGCTCCATTTGAAATAAGAATTTCTGCAATTTCTTTACTATTATTACTGGCTGCATAATGAAGAGGGGTCCATCTATTTTTGTCTTTAGCATTGATATCTGCTCCATTTGAAATAAGAATTTCTGCAGTTTCTTTACTATTATTACTGGCTGCATAATGAAGAGGGGTCTTTAGCATTGATATCTGCATCATTTGAAATAAAATATTCTAAAAGTGATGAAAGATGGAAATTCGGAGAATAAGCAAAACATGCGTTGATGTCATTTGTTTGATCCAAATAAACTAAAAATGATTGAAGATTATTGTATTGAGAGCACAATTCTAAATCAATTTTTTTGTTATGTTCATTCATCAAAAATGTGATAAAATCGATTTTGTGTGATATAATTGCATATTTCATGCATTTATCATCTGGTTTTTGTACTTTCAAGCATTCATTCATAATGTCTGGATTTCCACTCAAAAACGAAAATCTAAGACAATCGGGAGTGATTTCTGATTGAAATTTCGTTATTAAAAACTTAAAACAATCAGCAGATCCATGATAACAACATAATTCAAGTAACGAAAGACCTTCATCTGAATATGGATATAAATCACTTTCTAATTTTTGATTTTTATCAAACTCTTCTCTTTCTGTAAAAAATATTAATGATATTTTGTCATCATCCATAATAGATCTGTAAATTGTATTTTGATCGTGAATATCAGATGAATAATGAGAATCTTCAAAATCGTTAAAACTTTGTTCCTCCTTTTCATTCAATACTATGTTGTATTCTTTGTAGAAAAGGTAATTAAAAACTTTGTTGATATTGTTGACCTGATTTAGATGGTATTCGTCAACAATTTGTTTGGCAATCGCTAAATATGACTTCATGTAGCGGTTGTTATAAATTGAAAGTTCGGATATATCATTGATAATCATATCAGGCTGAATTTGATAAGAGTCAATCAGGTTTTGTTTGATTTTTTTGTATATTGCGTTTAATTTTTCTTCGTCATTTGTTTTCAGCCTGTACAAAGCATCGTAGACATCATTATATCCTGTAAAAATCTCCATCAATTTGTCATAATGAGTTTGGTTAGTTTCTCCCTTGGACATCAACCAAAAATTATCAAACATACGATTATTCTTGATTCAAATGCTGTTCGGCATTAGAATTAAAAATAATCATTAGTATAATAATTACACTTTTATTGCATTTTTAACAGGCTTCATGCCTGTATAAAAACGTAATATAAGTGTAAATTTTACAATATCGTAATTTTGCATACAAATTTCGAATTTCGAAAATTTTCAATTTATTAGACAGTAAGGATCCCATTTGGAGAATAATCTTCCTCAATTCTAAAATTCAGTTTGGATAGAAATAATCCCATTTCGAATTTTGATCCCAAACTGCCATATTTTTTATCTCAATATCAGATATATTATCAAATAGAATTAAAGAGTATTATAAGAAATATGTAGGTAAAAAAAAGAGAAATTTCGGATATCAAATTCAAGAAAAATTCATTATTCAAAGTATAGATATAAAACGATCAAAAATTTAATCAAAAAGAAGCAAGAAAATATAATTGCAACATATATCTTTATCACTGAGAAGAGAAGAATCCCCAAACTTCAACTTCGTCAGCTTTGAATCTGCTTGTTCCAGCGAGGAATGTCTGTGCCGGTTCAGATCCAAACCTCAGGCCAATTCCAAATGTGTTTTCAATGGTCGAAGCGCATCTATCGAAATCTCCAGCGAGAACTAAGTCATCTCTACCAAAAGAGAAGGTCTCAGGAGTTCCTACCATGTATACAGGGTCCTCTTATTGAGGATGTGCCTGTATGAACGCGTTATTATCGATTGAGAAAAGGAATGAAGAAGTTCCTTCGCCAAAACTACGGCCATCGTTTGTCCACTTCGATGCTGCAAGGCCACCGAAAATTCTATCGTTTGCTTTGACGATAATAACCGAAATTCCTTTTCCATCGACCAAACTGTGCATTTCTTTGATAGAACGGCCATCGTTTGCTGTAGAGAACATGAGATGTGTCTCTGGCATCGCCTTGAATGGGAAGCAGTAGTAAAGCCTCTTTGCTGTCTCTTCATCTGTCAAAATCTTGGAACCTTGGAACGGCTGGAAGTCCAGGGACTTGCCCATCTCTTTGTACTTGGCCTCCTTACGTGTGGCCATCTTCTCTAGAGTGGTGTACTTAGGGTAATGCTCGGTAGATAAGTTTAATGACCTTTCCTTGACATCTGTCTTGTTCTCGACCTCGCGGATGGAGAGAGTGCCAAATACAGCTAAGTCTGCGCGTGCATTTGTCTTCTGTAAGTCGATGGATGTTTCGATATCTTTATCAAGGACTTCGTTGCGATGATAGGCTTGTAAGAAAGGCACTGGTTGTCCATTGGAGTAATATTCAAGAAGAAGAGAACGTTCTGCTTTGAATTGATTGTATTTGCGTTGTAATTCGGAAATTGCGGATTTTGTTTCGACAATACGCTCTCCAGCTTCTTGCTTAGCTTCGGCGATAGCTGCTGCAGCAATGCGATTGATTTCGTCGATGACTTTTGCAAGATTATCCTTGATATATCAAGAACATTTTGCTCGGCATCGAGAATTAATTAATGCTGTTGTTGAGAAAAATAATCATGGTATTATGTAATAATCCTGATAAAATGCTCTAGCTAGGAGTTGCTTTGAATGTAATGGTTCAATTTAATATAATTATTAATTAGATTCTTTTGTTGAAACATAAATAGTCACAACAGGAGCATTTGAAACGCTAGGTTCAAGATATGGTCGCTTTCCGTTTCTCGGATCGAATCTATTTTCTTTTGCTTTGATATTGTAGAACAATTCAAGTTGTTTTTCATCAGTGTACCGTTTGAACATTTCAGGATTTCTTGAAGCCAGAGTATCTGCAATATATTTTGCAAGATCTTTAGTATCTGGTGGAAGAAAATCAAAAAAATGATAACCATTATCTAAAATAAACATAAAGAATTTGGTTTGTTTGGCTGTGACTTCTTGAAGTGTTGAAGTTGGTTTGACATTCACTTCTATGAATTTTTCTTCATTCATACTTATTTTATATTGGGTCTAACACCAATAATAAATTGGGTCTGTATTCAAAAATACAAAATGGTAAAAAGAAGGACAGGACAAGTTCCAAAGACTCAAAATAATGAACAAGAGAAACCCAAAATACCAGTAAAAGAACAGCCTGAACCAGTTAAAAAAACAAAGAAAGATAAAAAGAAATATCAACCAGAATTTAGTATTTTCAGGTTAGATCAAATTTTCAGGTACCATGGATTCTCAAAATTTAGAATAACTTTTGCTGATATTGCTTTGTTTACAATTGTTACTTTAATATCTGCATACACGCACTTTATAGATTTTGGAGAACCAAATCGTGTTGTCTTTGACGAAGTATATTTCGGCAACTTCACAAATTACTATCATCGTAAAAAATACTTCTTTGATATTCATCCACCGCTTGGAAAAGAACTGCTTTACTTTGGATCAGTAATATCAGGATACAAAGCAGATCTCAAATTCTATTCAATTGATTCCGATTTTCCTAATGATAATATTAAATTACTCAGATTTTGGCCATCTCTTACTGGCACGCTTATAACTCCCGTAGTTTACTTAATGCTTCGTATCTGCGATGTTTCGTACATGTGGGCCACTGCTGGAGCCATTCTTCCTGCTCTTGACAATATGCTTATTGTTGAATCTCGTTTTGTCTTAATTGACGCTTACCTTTGGTTCTTTGCCGCACTTTCGTCCTTAATGTGCGCTTGCGCCGTCAGATTTTTCAAACACAACATATTATTTGCAATTCTCTCAGGAATTGCAGTTGGAGCAACAACATCCGTCAAATTCACCGGCGCTGGAGTTTCAATAGGTGTTGTCATTGCGTTTTTCATGAATTATAATTTCATTGACGCATTTGTTATGAGTTTCCACGCTGCAGTCTCAGGGATTGTTGTCTTTATAGGTTCCTTCTATGTTCACTTCCTAATTCTCACAAATCCTGGTCCAGGATGTGATTTCAACCGCGATATTTGTCGGGCCATGGAAAAACACGAGTTATCTCCAATTGTAGCCACTTTCACATTGATCAAAACGATGCTTGGCTCAAACTTCGCTATAAATGTTGAGCATCCTTATGCTTCGAAGTGGTGGCAGTGGCCATTGCAGCTTGGAAAAGGAAATTGGCTTTGGTTCCACGAGAACAAAGAATTGTGGACAGTTGGAACTCCCGCTATTTGGTATTTCGCTTTCTTTATGCAGTTTGTCTCTCTGTTTAGAGTGAAAAGCGACAGATTTGTTAGGGGATCGATCTGGATATTTGTTACTTATTTGATCTCTTATCTTCCTTTCTCTTTGATCAAGAGAGTCATGTGGAACTACCATTACGCAATTCCTCTCATTTTCTCAATCGAAATGAGCTGTGTTTCATTGAGTAGTTTCAACAACAAATTTGTGAAGTACTTTGTTCCTTTTGTTGTTATTGTAGCTGCTTTGATTAACTATTTGATATTGCTTCCTGTTACTATTGGATCACCAATCAACAGCGCTGAATATTATCGCAAGTTCTTCTTTAATAACTGGCACTACTAAAAATATATGTTTCAATATTTTATTTTGTAAAAAAAAGAGTATTTATTGAATTTAATATATATGAAGTCTTGTACTTGGTACCTGAAACAAGAAAATTTTCATTTGTTACTTGAACTTGCAACTGTATATATGACTAATATGTACTATTTATGTTTTTAAATTATGACATAAAGCACTAAAGTTAATAATACAAGATATTGTAAAAACTTTTTTAGTAAATCATATAACCATAAGAGAAAAATCAGCTCTATTAAAAAATTAAATGTTTAGAATAAACCACAAAAAAAAAATAAATCAAATTACTCCTTGTATGTCTCTTCCTGTGGTTGGTCAGCACCGTATGCAGCCCACTTGTCGCTTCTTGGAGCAAGATCAGCTGGCATAGAGCGAATCCACTGGAAGACTGTGTAGTTGTTCTGTGGCTTGCACTTGACATCGAATTCGTGACTTGTGCCATTCTCGAAGGCGATACCCTTTGTAGCCAATTGCTCACCACGATATCTGATCTTCAATGTTGTCTCGCAGACGATAACCTTCTTCGGTGCGTCTGGGAACTTCTGTTGATCTGGGTAGTAAGCAACTTCGAGCTTAAGCTCAGCTGGGACCTTAACTCTGCGCAAGGTTCTGATGATTGGGATAACCTTGACTGACTTGTTCTTGAGATCTGGGTAGTAGATATCATGTACTGGGTACTGGGACTTCTTCTCGTCCGGAAGATAGAAGTCCTTCTTGATGAGGAACTGTGGATGTGATGCCTTGTCAGCGGAGAGGCCGAATCTCTTCTCGTTGGTATCAAGAACAAGGAGGTTGAAGTCGAAGTCACAGCGGTGCTTGCCTTCGTAGAAGACACGGAAGTAGACATCCTGGGTGTAATCCTGGACTGGGCCGTAGATGACACCGTCGTCAACCTTGATTTCTCTTGTAGCAGCAGCAACGACTTCTCCTTCATCGGATGATGAAGATGAGGATGAGAGTTGGACGAATGTTGGCTTCTCTTCTTCGGAGTCAGATTCGCCTTCGCGGTCGTTGTGCAATAAGAGCTTGAGGTTGACTGTGCCACGCTTGCTGCGGAAGCCGCCTTCCTTCTTGAGTTCGACACTGACAGAGATTGGAGAGTCAAGGCCGTAATCAGCGAGCTTGACTTCGCCGTTGCCGATCAAGTCGTTGGCGTTCTTCTCATCCCAGTCATAGCACTCAACAATGAGGACGTCGGTCTTCTTATCGACGAGCTCGAAGTTGAATGTCTGGTTCCAGACTGGGTTCTTGGTCTTCTTGATAACTTCTGTCTTCTGTGGTTGGCCGTTCTTGTTGAGTTTAAGGATGACGTATGGATCAGACTTGCCGTTGAGATCCATAGCAGCGAGATCCTTAGCATCAACAACTGTAGCATCAAGAAGGACCTTCTTTGGAGCGTACTCAGCCTTTTGTGGATGAGCTGGGGCAACAGCTGGAGCACCTGGCTTAGGTTCTTCACCTGGTCTGTATGCCGTGAACTTAAGATGGACTGTGCCACGGTCCTTGCGGAGTCCGTGCTTCTTCTTGAGTTCAACGTTAGCTTCAACTGGTGTGTTGAGCTTGAACTGGTCAAGCTTGATTGTTCTGTAGCCGATGAGATCGTTGTCATTCTTCTCGTCCCAGTCGTAGACTGTGATGTGGAGCTTGTCCTTCTTCTGGTTCGGGATTGGAACATTGAATGTCTGGTGCCATTCTGGGTTCTTGTTCTTCATGACAACGCCTGTGCGGAGTTGACGGCCTGTGCCATTGACTGACAAAGCGCAGTATGGATCAGCCTTGCCATTGAGATCCATAGCTGGTAAGCCCTTGGCATCAACGACAACAACCTGTAAGACAATTGGATCGACCTTCTCCTCTGGAGCTGGTGGGTTGGCGGCGAGCTCGGCTTGCTCCTTCTTGCGGTCTTCTTCATCAGATGATGAGGAGGATGAGGATGAGGACTTCTTCTGTTCCTTGACAGCAGCAACAACAACTGGAGCTGGCTTCTTCTCGTCTTCGGAGTCTGTCTCGCCTGCACGGTCTTCGTGGAAGTGGAACTTGAGATGGACTGTGCCACGCTTGCTGCGGAAGCCACCTTCCTTCTTGAGCTCGACATCAACCTCAACTGGTGTGTCAAGAGCATAGTCTGCGAGCTTGACTTCGCCGTTACCGATCAAGTCGTTGGTGTTCTTCTCGTCCCAATCGTAGCACTCGACAACGAGGACATCGGTCTTCTTGTCGACAAGATCGAGATGGAACTCTTGGTTCCATGCTGGGTTCTTTGTCTTCTTGATGACTTCTGTCTTCTGTGGAGCACCGTTCTTGTTGATCTTGACGATGACGTATGGATCGGACTTGCCATTGAGATCCATGGCAGCGAGGTCCTTGGCATCAACAACTGTGCAGTCGAGGATGACCTTCTTCGGCTTCTCTTCTTCCTTCTTTGGTGGTGGAACAACAGCGGCAACTGGAACTGGAGCTGGGGCTGGAGCTGGCTCTTCGCCTGGTCTGTAAGCTGTGTACTTAAGATGGACAACACCGCGGTCCTTGCGGAGGCCGTGCTTCTTCTTAAGCTGGACTTCTTGCTCAACTGGTGTGTTGAGCTTGACGTCCTTGAGCTCGATGTGGGCGTAGCCGATAAGATCGTTGGAGTTCTTCTCGTCCCAGTCGTAGACTGTGATGTGGAGCTTGTCCTTCTTCTGGTTCGGGATTGGAACATTGAATGTCTGGTGCCATTCTGGGTTCTTGTTCTTCATGACAACGCCTGTGCGGAGTTGACGGCCTGTGCCATTGACTGACAAAGCGCAGTATGGATCAGCCTTGCCATTGAGATCCATAGCTGGTAAGCCCTTGGCATCAACGACAACAACCTGTAAGACAATTGGATCGACCTTCTCCTCTGGAGCTGGTGGGTTGGCGGCGAGCTCGGCTTGCTCCTTCTTGCGGTCTTCTTCATCAGATGATGAGGAGGATGAGGATGAGGACTTCTTCTGTTCCTTGACAGCAGCAACAACAACTGGAGCCTTCTCCTCGACTGGAGCCTCCTTCTTCTCATCATCAGAAGATGTCTCGTCAGCACGATCGCCATGGAGATGGATGCGAAGATGGACTGTACCGCGTTGCTTGCGGAAGCCGCCCTCCTTCTTGAGTTCGATGTACTTATCGACTGTTGCATCTAAAGCGAGTTCATCGATCTTGATTTCACCGTTACCGATCAAGTCGTTTTCGTTATGGTCATCCCAATCGTAGCACTCGACATAAAGAACATCGGTCTTCTTGTCGACAAGGCTCATATGGAATTCTTGGTTCCATTCTGGGTTCTTTGTCTTCTTGATGACCTCAGTCTTCTGTGGAGCGCCATCCTTGTTAAGCTTAAGGACAACGTATGGGTCGGACTTGCCACCAATATCCATAGCGGCAAGATCCTTGGCATCAACAACAGTAACGTCCATCAAGACCTTCTTCGGCTGGGCGGCAACTGGAGCTGGAGCTGGCTTCTCTTCGACCTTAACAATTGTGAACTTGAGGTGAACTGTGCCACGTTCCTTACGGTGTGCGTTCTTCTTCTCAAGAGCAAGATCCTTCTCGACTGGTGTGTCGAGTGGGAATTCCTTGAGAGGAAGTTCGTACTGGCCGATGAGATCGTGATCATTGTGTTCATCCCAATCATAGCAAGCGAGGCAGAGTTTATCGTTCTCGTGGCTCTTTAATGGGATCTGGAAATCTTGGTTCCATTCTGGGCTGCGGTTCTCCTTGACAACTTCTGTCTTGTACTGCTGGCCTTCACCGTTGATTGTGAGGACGCAGTATGGATCGGACTTTCCACCCTTGTCCATAGCGGCAAGCTTTGTAGCATTGACAACTGTAAGCTTTAAGAGGAGATTCTCTGGGGCTGGTTTTGGAGCTGGTGGGTTGGCAGCAAGAGCAGCGGCCTCCTTCTTAGCATCCTCTTCATCAGACTCGGACTTCTCCTTCTTGGCTGGTTCTGGCTCTTCATCAGATGTTTCATCCTTGTTATCGTAGTGGAATAAGAATCTGACGTGTACAAGGCCACGGTTCTTACGGTGGCCACCTTCCTTCTTAAGTTCGACATCTCTCTCAATTGGTGTATCCATGACGTATTCGTAAAGTGTGAGGTGGGAATCACCAATAAGATCGTGTTCGTTGTGATCATCCCAGTCATAGCAAGAAAGGTGAAGAATATCTGTTTGCTTATCCTTGAGTTCGAATGTGAAGTCTTGGTTCCAAACTGGGTTCTTGTTCTTCTTAACAACTTCAGTCTTTTGTTCTGGACCATCATTGTTGAGCTTAAGGATGACATATGGATCAGATTTACCATTGAGATCCATAGCGGCAAGATCCTTAGCATAAACAACGGAGAATTCGAGAATTACCTTCTTCGGCTTTTCTGTCTTGGCTTGGTGGTTAACTGGGGCTGGGGCTGGGACAGGTGGGGCATCCTGTTCCTTCTTGTGTGCTACAATTTTAAGATGGACTGTACCACGTTCCTTACGGTGAGCATGCTTCTTCTTTAATTCGACATCTTTCTCGACTGGAGTATCGAGTGGAAGTTCCTTAAGTGGGAGTTTGAAATTACCAATAAGATCGTTATCGTTGTGCTCATCCCAATCATAGACAACGATATGGAGCTTATCGTGATTTCTGTTGGCAGCTTCCATGTGGAATTCGGCGTTCCACTCTGGATTGCGGTTCTCTTTGATGGCTTCTGTCTTGTATTCTTGACCCTTGCCGTTGATTGAAAGGACAGCGAATGGATCGGACTTTCCACCCTTGTCCATAGCAGCAAGCTTTGTGGCACTGACAACAGTGACATCTAAGAGGATTGGTTCCTTTGGAGTATTGTCTTCCTTCTCGTCATCGGAAGAAGATGAGGAGGATGAGGATGTCTCCTTCTTGTGACTATGCCTCTTCTTCCTCTTGGAACCTTCCTTGCCTTCTTCCTTATCTTCAGCCTTCTTAACTTCAAAGTTGATGTAAGGCTGCTTTCTGTCGAGTCTGAATGGGCCTTCTTTCTGCAGTTGCTCAGTCTTGACTCCTTCTTCGAGATTTCCATCAGCTGGAATGTTGAGTGTGTAGGTGCATGTAAGGATATCTACACCAAGTTTCTCTGTTTCATGAACTTCGAAAATCACAGCTTGAGTATCGGCGACCTTGACCTTGGCCTCGTTGCTCTCATAAGCTGGATTGAGTGAATCTTGGACTACATTAGTTTTAGTAATTTGTTTCTTTTCATTGGATTTCGTTAGCTGTATAACATTAACGTATGAGTTGCTTTGACCGCTCAGATCAGATACTGGGAGGTCTTTGCAGCTGACAACACGAAAAGACAGCATTTAGAAAGTGATGAATTGAATTCCTTCGATAGCACGCGGTTCTGACAACTTATCGTGACTTCACTTATTTTATAATTTTAATCAATATTAAAAGATACGTAATTGGAAATAAAATTGTAAAAAACTGTCATCAATTGTATCGCATGAATTGGAAATTTGATTTTTATATAAAATAGTTATATATTAGAAAATAATATGAGTTTACGTGATATTATTTTTCAGAAGATTTCATTCTATATGCCTATGAAAAGTACTCTCAAAACTAACTTTTCCTAATTATAATTAAATCTAGAATATTGTATTATGCTTAGTATTATTTCATTTTTCTCATTCAATTTAGAATTTACAAATGTCAAAAAATTGAGAGCTGTCACTTTTGATGAATTTCTGTTTATTACAATTTTAACCACTATACATTAATGTATGTATATAATAGCTGTGAATTTTAACTTCTGCGGGTCTTGAAACAATAAAATGTTTACTTTCAATTTTCCGCTAAATGGAAAATTCAATTTAGGTAGTAAATAAATAATGTGTTATTTGTATAAATTAAATTTATCGTAGTTTTGGGCGGTGTTATTGTTTATTCAACAATTTGATCACCCATTTTTTATTGTCGTGCTCATCGGAAAGTTGGCATTATACCACATTCTAACCCATAAAACGAAATCTTCAAAATAAAAAGAAATAAAAATTCCCTCAAATTAATCGTTGTTTTTTTATGCTATTTGACCGACCATTTATAAATAAACATTGTATTAGTACTTATAAGATGTTATTTTTCATAGTTAATTTTCAAGTTGCTCAATTTTTTTATAACTCTTATTGGACAATAAGAATAAAGGAACGAAATTAACCTCGTTAGTTAATGGAGTTAGTCAGACTATATAACAATAATCTGAATGACATTAAAAAAATAAACAATTTACTTCATAAAGTTGAAATTTCGAAACATATACTTACTGATTCAAAAAAATCAATTTCATTTTCATATAACGCGTAGGACTTCACGTAAATACGATGATTTTGTGGGCTGTAAACGAATATAATCAATATTAACCAAATCGGAAAGAAAATCTCGAAAGCGGCGTGTCCAAAGTTAATTCATTTAAGTGTTTCGTTTTGCGAAAAAAACGTACAATACGCAATTTCGCTAAAAAAACATTTAGCTAGCAATTTCGACCTTTGACTCCACTAAAGACGTCACTTTTTTAATTTTGCGGTATCATATTTTTGGAAAATCTTTATGAATATTATATAAAAAGTCTCTTTAATATCTATATTTCATATTTTTATCGATTTTTAAAGTTTTTGCGAAAAGTATTCAATTATTTTTGCTATTTGGTCGGGTAAATGTCAGATTTGCGACATTTTCTGATATGATATTCAGATTCTACGTTGATAATAATGCTTATAGAATAAGGGTTTCGTTTTGCGAAAAAAACGTACAATACGCAATTTCGCTAAAAAAACATTTAGCTAGCAATTTCGACCTTTGACTCCACTAAAGACGTCACTTTTTTAATTTTGCGGTATCATATTTTTGGAAAATCTTTATGAATATTATATAAAAAGTCTCTTTAATATCTATATTTCATATTTTTATCGATTTGTAAAGTTTTTGCGAAAAGTATTCAATTATTTTTGCTATTTGGTCGGGTAAATGTCAGATTTGCGACATTTTCTGATATGATATTCAGATTCTAGGTTGATAATAATGCTTATAGAACCCTCTTGCTATTGTGTCAAAATTGCGCAACCGATAGCAAAAATATCTCGCAATATCAAAATTGAGATATTGAGTGAATTATGCATTATAGAGATTAAAAATCTGATTTGTGAAAACATCTCATCAGTTTCTAGCTAATTCAAAAATCTTTACTATCTTATTCGATTAAAATGAAAAGGGAATAGTTTCATTATGCTTTAAATGACAGCCTTATAATATAATCATAGTTTTCGCTCAATATGCAGCATTTTTTTTTCGAAATCTATGGTCAATATCCTAAATACTGATTGCTTTGCATTCATATCTCTTACATTTTCTATACCCACATCACTATTCATTGCTATTCCTATCTTTTTCATTTTTGTTTGTTTCTTATAATTTCTCAAAAAACATGATAACTTGATATTTGTAAATATCATACTTTATAACGTAAATAAGAACTTGACCTATTAAGAAAAGCAGTAATGAAAAGAAAATCTGAAATTCATAAAAATTACAAGTTTCTGATGACAATTAGCTTAATTAAACCAGGTACAAGATTATATAATTGTATTTTCTATCCAATTATCCATATAATATCTTATCCAGAAAAATAACTTGATCAATACCAAATGATTTTTTAACTAGTAAATAAAGTATTTTCTTTACACACACATTGTATATCATAGTTTTTTTTTGGTTTCGCAAAACATCCAAAAACAAATATGCTATAAAAGTGACAATTTTAGCAAAACGAAACCCTTATATAGAACCTTCTTGCTATTGTGTCAAAATTGCGCAACCGATAGCAAAAATATCTCGCAATATCAAAATTGAGATATTGAGTGAATTATGCATTATAGAGATTAAAAATCTGATTTGTGAAAACATCTCATCAGTTTCTAGCTAATTCAAAAATCTTTACTATCTTATTCGATTAAAATGAAAAGGGAATAGTTTCATTATGCTTTAAATGACAGCCTTATAATATAATCATAGTTTTCGCTCAATATGCAGCATTTTTTTTTCGAAATCTATGGTCAATATCCTAAATACTGATTGCTTTGCATTCATATCTCTTACATTTTCTATACCCACATCACTATTCATTGCTATTCCTATCTTTTTCATTTTTGTTTGTTTCTTATAATTTCTCAAAAAACATGATAACTTGATATTTGTAAATATCATACTTTATAACGTAAATAAGAACTTGACCTATTAAGAAAAGCAGTAATGAAAAGAAAATCTGAAATTCATAAAAATTACAAGTTTCTGATGACAATTAGCTTAATTAAACCAGGTACAAGATTATATAATTGTATTTTCTATCCAATTATCCATATAATATCTTATCCAGAAAAAATAACTTGATCAATACCAAATGATTTTTTAACTAGTAAATAAAGTATTTTCTTTACACACACATTGTATATCATAGTTTTTTTTTGGTTTCGCAAAACATCCAAAAACAAATATGCTATAAAAGTGACAATTTTAGCAAAACGAAACCCTTATATAGAACCTTCTTGCTATTGTGTCAAAATTGCGCAACCGATAGCAAAAATATCTCGCAATATCAAAATTGAGATATTGAGTGAATTATGCATTATAGAGATTAAAAATCTGATTTGTGAAAACATCTCATCAGTTTCTAGCTAATTCAAAAATCTTTACTATCTTATTCGATTAAAATGAAAAGGGAATAGTTTCATTATGCTTTAAATGACAGCCTTATAATATAATCATAGTTTTCGCTCAATATGCAGCATTTTTTTTTCGAAATCTATGGTCAATATCCTAAATACTGATTGCTTTGCATTCATATCTCTTACATTTTCTATACCCACATCACTATTCATTGCTATTCCTATCTTTTTCATTTTTGTTTGTTTCTTATAATTTCTCAAAAAACATGATAACTTGATATTTGTAAATATCATACTTTATAACGTAAATAAGAACTTGACCTATTAAGAAAAGCAGTAATGAAAAGAAAATCTGAAATTCATAAAAATTACAAGTTTCTGATGACAATTAGCTTAATTAAACCAGGTACAAGATTATATAATTGTATTTTCTATCCAATTATCCATATAATATCTTATCCAGAAAAAATAACTTGATCAATACCAAATGATTTTTTAACTAGTAAATAAAGTATTTTCTTTACACACACATTGTATATCATAGTTTTTTTTTGGTTTCGCAAAACATCCAAAAACAAATATGCTATAAAAGTGACAATTTTAGCAAAACGAAACCCTTATATAGAACCTTCTTGCTATTGTGTCAAAATTGCGCAACCGATAGCAAAAATATCTCGCAATATCAAAATTGAGATATTGAGTGAATTATGCATTATAGAGATTAAAAATCTGATTTGTGAAAACATCTCATCAGTTTCTAGCTAATTCAAAAATCTTTACTATCTTATTCGATTAAAATGAAAAGGGAATAGTTTCATTATGCTTTAAATGACAGCCTTATAATATAATCATAGTTTTCGCTCAATATGCAGCATTTTTTTTTCGAAATCTATGGTCAATATCCTAAATACTGATTGCTTTGCATTCATATCTCTTACATTTTCTATACCCACATCACTATTCATTGCTATTCCTATCTTTTTCATTTTTGTTTGTTTCTTATAATTTCTCAAAAAACATGATAACTTGATATTTGTAAATATCATACTTTATAACGTAAATAAGAACTTGACCTATTAAGAAAAGCAGTAATGAAAAGAAAATCTGAAATTCATAAAAATTACAAGTTTCTGATGACAATTAGCTTAATTAAACCAGGTACAAGATTATATAATTGTATTTTCTATCCAATTATCCATATAATATCTTATCCAGAAAAAATAACTTGATCAATACCAAATGATTTTTTAACTAGTAAATAAAGTATTTTCTTTACACACACATTGTATATCATAGTTTTTTTTTTGGTTTCGCAAAACATCCAAAAACAAATATGCTATAAAAGTGACAATTTTAGCAAAACGAAACCCTTATATAGAACCTTCTTGCTATTGTGTCAAAATTGCGCAACCGATAGCAAAAATATCTCGCAATATCAAAATTGAGATATTGAGTGAATTATGCATTATAGAGATTAAAAATCTGATTTGTGAAAACATCTCATCAGTTTCTAGCTAATTCAAAAATCTTTACTATCTTATTCGATTAAAATGAAAAGGGAATAGTTTCATTATGCTTTAAATGACAGCCTTATAATATAATCATAGTTTTCGCTCAATATGCAGCTTTTTTTTTCGAAATCT